CTTGCATGCTTAATGGAGCTGAGTGGCTACAGGGGCTGGTGCATGTAGTTTCAACAGTGGGCTTGTGTCGGGTGCCAAACAGCAAAAGCACCCAACTGAGGATATCCACAACTGTGGTCACTCATAATGAGTCATATTCTGTCATAACGTTATCTGCTGTAACTGGGGCTCTGTGCACTTGCGAGCCGGGTTTCTCGCTCCAACACTTTACAATTCATTGGTGTACATGATTTGCAGTGTATGTAGGGTTTGAGGTTCTGATTCTAAGCCTCTGAAGTCTGGACCTTGGACCCCAGCTACAGTCTACAGCAAAGTCTAGTCGTCATGTTCCCCTGCAGCCAAGAATGCTTAATCAGTTAATGTAGGTACTAGGTAGCCTGTAGTGAGGCAGTGCGCATTAACCCGATACAGTATACTCAATGCCTGTACATGTGAACAACCAATCATCAGACTCTTGAGGAGTCACAGTAACTGGCAATGGTGGATTGCATTGCCACCATTCCTGGTAAAGGTACAGCTACTAATCACTCCCATTGCATACACTACATGTATTTCTTGTAAAGAAAGGAAGCTAACGTTAAGGTTTAGGATAATGAAAGTGTGATTGTGAAATAAATTTGTGTGGGACTCATCCACTACATGTATGGTACATGGTGCGGGGGGGGGGGGGGAGGGGGGGGCATGTTAGTGGCTTTCTCAACGTGGGAAATGATTGGTAATGAAGATGAGTCAATTTTTGTACCATATACATGTACATATACATATACATGTAGATGTAGATGTCCAGCGCTTCCTGCACGATTACGGAACATCTTTACGAACTGGACACACCCAACACTCGTTTTGCATTTAACTAAATGCAAATGACGATAGATAAGAATGAATGGTAATGCAATATACAGCTTGTCTCCAGGACACAGACAGCACGACACCAACATAACACGTCCTCGCAGTGGATCAATAGACTGGCATTTTCCGCGTGCCACGATGGTCACAGAATGAAACACTTCAAATAGGTGACATTTTTGTTACAATATTGGCAAGACCCTAGGAAGAACGGTGATACTTGCCTTTTCGGTGCTTTAAGCTAGGATTTCTTTTTACATAGGAAGCCGTATCTCTACATGTGTATTATGGTGGGCCCAGAGCTCTGTGGAGGGGATCTCTGTTTGTATAGAAAGCCCCGTCGAACCACAGTACATGTATAGGAAAGAAAGATTACGAGAGAAGGGTAGCGGTGAAAACGTGTGTGTGTGTGTGTGCGCGCGCGCGTGCGCGTGTGTGTGTGGGGGGGGGGGTGTGCTGGAAATAGATGACTTTGGACATTCGCTCATTGTGGTACCCGCGCATTCTCGCAGAGAAGCTGTTTCGATTCCCCAAATAAGGTACCTACATGTACATGTACATGTATATGAAATAATCATTTTGAAGTATAACATTACGGTAAGTAATTCTACACTACACACGATTGTGACACGAAGATAGGAGATAAACAAGTGACGAGAATTGTGTTGCCATTGTTCGGTCTTCTATGATGGTGGAAGACAGTGAAAATGGAAAGTCCCCAGTCTTCAGGAAATCTTTGTACACGTACATGTATATGCATGAACCTAATATATACATGAATTTATAGTACTCAATCTGCGGACAGCATGCTGTTTCGTTCTTTTTGAACTCATCAGCGCAGCACAGAGGAAATGAGGCCGAACCTGATAGCAATGGAAATAAAAATTTCCAATCAGGCCCGAACGTACCTTGCCAGAGTGCTCAAACTGACAAGTCAGTGAGCTCTGCATAACGCAAACAGCAAAGGCACTACCCCACGCAAGAGTGCTCAACTGCTACAAGAGCAGGAGCGAAATACTCAATCTGCGGACAGCATGCTGTTTCGTTCTTTTTGAACTCATCAGCGCAGCACAGAGGAAATGAGGCCGAACCTGATAGCAATGGAAATAAAAATTTCCAATCAGGCCCGAACGTACCTTGCCAGAGTGCTCAAACTGACAAGTCAGTGAGCTCTGCATAACGCAAACAGCAAAGGCACTACCCCACGCAAGAGTGCTCAACTGCTACAAGAGCAGGAGCGAAATACTCAATCTGCGGACAGCATGCTGTTTCGTTCTTTTTGAACTCATCAGCGCAGCACAGAGGAAATGAGGCCGAACCTGATAGCAATGGAAATAAAAATTTCCAATCAGGCCCGAACGTACCTTGCCAGAGTGCTCAAACTGACAAGTCAGTGAGCTCATGAATTTATAGTATATAGCTGATGATGGCTTAGCGTTAGATGCTTAGACTTTAGAGCGTGAAACGCTGCGTCGCGGTACATTGTCCTCTCTCCCTATTGTACATATTTCCATTGCTATCAGGTTCGGCCTCATTCCTCTGTGCTGCGCTGACGAGTCCACAAAGGAAGAAACAGTTCTGTCCGCAGATTGAGTACTTCGAGTATACATGTATGTGCAGGATCGCCCACCTCGGGGTGTTGAGTACACGTCATTAGGCGGGGCCTACACTCCGCTCGTCTTCTACATGAATATACAGTCATAGACGATATACCGTAATGAAGATTTTATTACGAGAGTGTGATGGACTGATGGTGATGTCGAGTGATGAGGGATTATAATGGTTCCCAGGCAATGGACTCAGGGAGAACCAGCACCATACATGTATTTTGAGTGATAAGTATACATGTACATGGTCATGGTCATTCATCACTTTCTACTTTGAAAGCACCAATTTTTGTGGCAATTAGCTATGAAATGTGCCAGATTGTTCGCTCCAGGAAAACGGTGGATCTCCTGCTCGAATCACAGTCCAATTCCGCTTGTCGATGAGTCCATACGGATTGACCCTGTTGAAGCCGAACAAAAACGAGATACTGGTATAATGTATCTAGACTACCGTGCACATGTACATGTAGGTCGTCATCGTGTAATAGTCACTCGAATTAATCCAT